AGAACTGCACTATTTTGAGAAACCCAGATCAATCAACCTAGATTCAGCGTAACCCCGGTTGACCTGGTGGCGCATCCTGCTCTCAAAAGCACATTGGGACGTGTCTGAAATTCCGTAATGATCAGTAGCCACCATGGACCCCTTCTCAGTTCTCTCGGCGCCTGGGGGTCTTCTCAGTTCGGTTCTTGGTCCAGGTGCAGCTTTGGCTGCTCAAAAAAACCAAAGGAATCCCAAAATGGGTTACCCGACCGGTCAGTGGAAACCTGGACCAACACCTGCGGTTTCTTTCCCCCCCTGTTTAGGCGCCACGCCTACGCCAGCCACGGATGCCAACAGGCCCAACATCCATTCCTGGGACGTGAGCAGAGTGGGACGATTGGGATGTTGGTGGGTGGCTGGGTGGCTGGGTTGCTGGGTTGCTGGGTTGCTGGGTTGCTGGGTTGTGGGCTGTTGGAGTGTTGTGTTGCTTTTGTTTTTGCGGGTTGTTGGGTTGTTGTGGGGTGTCAAGTTATTGGGTTGTTGGGTTGTTGGTTGGTTGGTATGCTGCTCCGTCAATCCGCAGCACACATGTGTTTGCATTTTCTCTGACGCATGTGGCACTTGCTAACACACGCAATCAACTAAGGCCAATGGTGCACCTAGCATTTGGTGTGTTGAGGAGCTTTCAATGAGTTGCGCTACCAAACTGTTCATAGTTCAGGCAAAGTCAAGACCTTGCCCGGCAGGTTCAGGCTACGGGTCAGCGGAGGACAATGGCCACCTCGGGACTTTGCGTGACTTGCGCAAAAAGGTCACAAAGGAGACCACGTAGTCAGACAACAACTGCACGAGGCTCAGCTTCGCTGAGGCGCAGACATCGCTAGCGACTTCCACAGCGTCGCAACACACCAGATTTGTCTAAGATCTTCTCCCTCGCACGCCGGAACACTCCCCTAACGAGCTCACATGGCTAGGGTCCTACGCTTGCACGACTCCGGTGCGTCGACGGCATGTTGGGCTGAGGATGCAGTCGCCGTCCGACCAGACTTCTAATCTGGTTCGGTGCTTGCCACACAATCATCCGGCGACGTCATTGACTCGAACTAATGTCTTCCTAAAGCAGCGTTTCCGAAAACACGGAACATTTGAGTATGTGCGTATGTATGTATGTTTTTATGAATGCATGTATGCATGTGCTGTATGTATGTATGTATGTATGTATGTATGTATGTATGTATGTATGTATGTATGTATGTATGTATGTATGTATGTATGTATGTATGTATGTATGTATGGATGCATGCATGCATGCATGCATGCATGCATGCATGCATGCATGCATGCATGCATGCATGCATGCATGTATGTATGTGTGTAAATATGTGCGCACCTCGGCCGCACCGAACTTGCCAACGAACGCTGCCCTAGATAAAATTCTTTGATGGTACCTCCGACTTAGACTTGCAAGCCTGCCGGTCTTGCGCCAGTCTTGAACCTCATCAGGCCACTGTCGAGCACGCTGCGGGGCGCACTTTGCACCTGAGCAGAAGCCAAGTGATCATACATCTCATGGACTCCTCCTTGCTGGAGGGGGGTCTGTTTTTCGCTGGCGCGGCACACTTTGCTCCACATCTCTGCCACGTTGGGCTTACCGGGGGGTTGTTCCTACCAACTTGTTGTAGGACTTGGCGCTGTTCACGCACCAGCTTGGCACACGCCAGAAAGCTCGCAGCCGTCATCAAGCAGTTCGCAAAGTCCTTGGCACACCACAAGCTTGCAGCGCAAAACAACTGACAAATTGACAGAGGTGACCGCGTTGCAGCCAGCATGCTTGCAGGAAGCGCGTGAGCCTCCAGACGCAGTCAACGCACCAGGCCGACACACCAAGAAAAGAATTGCAGTTTCAACAAAAGACGGTTGCGGCGGAAGCTGCTGAAATTTCCACCCCTTTGGGAAGACGGAAGGTCCTGCGCAAGATCTTTTCCGAGGATATCTTCAAAAGGTACTCGTAAGGTCCTGCTCAATCTTCTTGCAGGATCTCTCACAAGGATCAGTGTACAAAGTCTCTTGACAGCCACAGAGACCACCCAGCCATTCCGTCCCAAGCTTCGTTCCCAAAGAACTTTCACAGGTTTTCGCCTGTTTGACTTTTTCACGTCAAGCTCTGTCCAAACAGTGCATATGCGGGCTCGTTCCCCTCGGAAAGGAAAAAAAGGAAAGGCGTGATGTTCCGGCGACCAGCTAGACATGTTAAAGGAACACGAAGGAAGCCAAGCCAATTTGTTCTACCCCGGTTTCCATTTTCAAGCAGACCTAAAAAAGGGCCTTCCTTCCTCCCCAAAAAACCGGAAAGCGCTTCGGGGCCCCGGACAGTGGCGCCCACGCGCCCCGCGCTGCTGGTCTTGGGCAGAAGCAAAGACCTCGCCTGGCAGCTGCGACCGGGATGAGCCCATTTCGTTGGTGCAGAGAGGCGGAATCCCTTTTTTGGGATTGGCTCAATTCACTTCCTGAGGTAGGCGAAAAGCAAAAGAAGCCGCACTTTGTGGTTGCCACTCAAATGGTCCAAACCGAAAAAGTGTAATGTCCAGGAACTCAGGCGAGAATCAACAGGGCGAAATGGTCTGCAAATCGGCCAACAAATTCATCCAGAGTGGGTTCCGCCCTTTTCGGAACTTCTTTGGGGCGGTTCCCTTGCCAACCAAGCAACAAAACAGGGTGCCCCCTTTCCTAAGGGGAACGGGGCCTTTGGGGAATGAACCGTGCATCAGAAAGGAAACTATATGATGGTTGACAAGGGTCATTCAGTCATTTCAGCTTTCCGCCATTTTTTTTCTGGTTTGGAGTCCATGTGGTTTGGAGGCTGAGGGCTTGGTTTTTTTTACCCTCTCCAAGAAACCCAGCGGCTCACAATGCCCAAACCTATCCAAACCGCCAAGGGGGTACCTGAGTTGATCAGGGCCACTCAACTTCGGCGTGCGCCGAAGCTCTCCAGTGCGTGGTTCCCTGGGTATAGGTCTGGGTTTTTTTTTCCGTGGGGACCGCAAAACACACGCAACAAAAACAACATGACCAAGGGCTCCCTTTTTGATCCAAGAACCTGGCAGATTTTGCTGCCTCGCTTCGGAAGGCTTGTAGAGGGGCCAAACCAATTTACAGGTTGACTAAATGCCCTCTCCATGATCCAACAACAGTGTTTCGGCATGCTATTCACACTTCTTCTTGGCAACGTCCCCATGTCAAAGTGTTGGGTCGCAAAAGGGTCCAGAAGGCATCTCCCCTTTTGATATTGAAACTCGAGAGGCCCCCAAAATCAGTGGCCTTCTGTTTGGGTTGCCTTTAAACCCAACTAACAAAGGCTTAAAGACGCAATCAAAGAATATTAAGTATGTGCCATGTTCAAGCTGCTTGTCATTTTTCCCATAGAGACCCAGTTGCCGAAAAGGCGGATCAACCGTAACCATGGCCCGGGCATCGGATGTGTTTTGCGAGCCCATCGCTCCCCATGGAATTTGCCACATGAAGGAACCCGGGGGCCCCTCGCTGCTCCGGACAAGATTCTTTTTCCCAAGTTCTCGATCCTTGCTATGGTAACCACAAACTTTGCTTTTTGCAGCCCCTACTAAGAATGAAGAGAACCAAGCAAAACAAAGCCTAAAAACCATGTGAACCTACACACCAGCGAAGCTGCATAAAATAAAAATAAAATGAGCCCACAAGGAGCCTGGCTTCAATTGATTTGCAAAAGAAGAAGAAGAAACAAAACAAGATCCGCTCGAAAAACTTCTGGTTGACACCGTCTTCCAAGGCCTTGGGCGCATATTTCCAGGGGATGTAAGTCGCCTCGGATGGCTCCGTTTTCGCTCACACCACTCGGCTGCGAAATCTGCTCCCCCGCCAAAAGTGAACAACTTTTAGTGGTTTCATACGGAAAACCTATTTGGCAAAAAATTGTTCAGTCCTAACATCCCTTGGGAAAATGTACCAAAGACAAGGTGTCTAAGATTCTCAAACTGGGTGTGAGAAAACCCAGGGGCGTTGTTGCTTGCTGCACCGTTGGGTCGCAACGGATTCATATTGTGGATGGTTGCGAAATCCATTTCGCACCACTTTGACACCATGGGAATGAAACCATGGGAAACGTTGGTATTTACGTTGGGGGATCGAATCGTTCCATGGTTTCTCAACGGGTGGTGCGAGATGGATTTTGTTCATCCACAGTAGAGCGACCTCATTCACGCCTTTTTCTTTTGCAAAATGAATCCACCCATCCCCAAGCCAAGAAAAGAATCCCTCAAAGATGCTCTTCCAAGATGCCACCAATGGACCAATGGGTGATTCAGCATGGGTTGGGCTCTGCTCATTTTTAGTAGGGGCTGCAACAAACAAAGTCTTTGCTACCATACGAAGGGTTGGAAAGTAATCTTGTCAGTTTGACCCAAAAACAACTAAAACAACTAAAAGCATGATCCAACAACTGTGAATAGTTTTCTTTTCATACACGAATCCCGGGGAGATCTTAGCCAACAACAGGCTCAGAACTGAAGCAACCAAGAACCAAACCCATGAGCCAAGCATGTCATATTCAGACCCGAAAACGTGAAGGAGAAGACCCCAATTGTCTTCCATTCAAGTGAAAGGGGAGCTTCTCTCTTGTGGTTTGAAGCCCGGGATTGGACGTGGTTCCCCATCTTTCCTCAGCCGGTCGGCAACTTCTTGCCGGAAGCTTGACAAATATGGACTTGCTTCAACTTAGAGAAACCAGCAAAATGGCTGTTTTTCTTGGTGGGTGTCCTGTGAAACCAACCCAAAGAAAGGGTACAGGTACACTCAACAAGACCGAAAAACACTGGCCGTGCGACAAACCCCCCACTGAACCAAGGGACCAAACACCAGCGGAACATGTGGAGCCCCGTTGTTTCAAAGGCCGGCCAGCCGAGAGTTATCTTCACCGTCCCTCTGACCGGTGGTTGGGATGGTTAAGAGGTTGGGGAGTGGTTTTCCGTTCTTGCCCTGTACAAGAACCAGGTCCAATCTCCAACTTCATATTTGGGGGGGCCTCATTTTGAAGGGAGACTCAATCAACAAAGCGCGTTGAAGGAGTGTCCTTCGGGGCCCTTTGAGGGATGGGGCTTACTTTGCCGCCGTTTGGTAATGAATGGGGATAAAAAGCTTTAACAAAACAAACAAAGCTCTTAGGAGGTATTTCACCCACAGTGGCCATGGGCAAAACAAGTGACTTGGCCGGGCCTGTTTGTTGGTAAGGGGAATTGGCCCTCCCCAACAAAGGGGGAAAGCCGGGCACGTGGAAAACTGGGCACGGATTATTCAGGGGGAGTTGGTAGTTCAAGAGAGTTTTTGCTTGGCAGTGCAAGAGCTAGGTCCTCCAGTAGAGAGCTTAGAATGAGAGTACCAACTTCTTTTGGTAGTCTACTTTAGCAAAAGGGGAAAGGGAAAAGCAACTGGGGGACCTAGAGAGAAACCAGGAAAACCGGGTAACCCTCTAGGGGCTGATTCCCCATTCTTTTCAACCATCGTTCTTTTCAAAAACCGGATCTGTTTCCCCTAGGTTTTTGCTGGTTTCCTGAAAAGATCCGGATCCCTGGAAAGAACGGAAATGGAAGCTAGCCCTAGAAAGCCGGACATGCCAACACTCCCCTGGGCTCTCCGGCCAGTGGCCGGTAGCTGGGCAAGAGCTGGCCCGTCCAGCTGTGCAGCGCCTCCCGCGTGTACGCCGCGTCGCACCTAACTCGGGCCCCAACCCGGGCGCACCTGGAAGCTCCGAAGGTGGTCTTTACGCCAGCTGTCGTGGAAAAATGATCGAGTCTCTCGTGAAGGATTCCTTTTTGAGGGGGTCGCCCATTTTCTCACAGGGATCCGGATGCATGAAAAACACCTAAACATTGCAACTTGTAAATGGTGTTGCTTCCATTTCTTTATTTTGGTGTTGAAAAAGCCACATGTTTCAAATGGTGGCAAAATGAATTTCTTTTCAGGAGCTTTGTGGAAGCTCCCCGGTTTGGAGAGGACCTGAGGTCAATGGATGCATATGCCCACAGTATACTGTGGATGGACGGAATCCGTTCGCACCAAGTAGAAACCATGGAAATAATGGTTTGTTGGTGTTTACAGGGGAATCATGGGTTCCAGGGTTCAGGATTTTGTCCATCCACAGTATGAACCCCGAGTTTTTATGTGAACACATCGTTTGAGGCAAAATTATGGGAAATCAGCCCTTTGGGATCCAAAATGGCCATGGGTTCATATATGGACCTACACAATCAGCCTTTGATGAGGTAACTCTGAGGTAGCAAGAGTGCTCGTCTTTATGGTACTCACTTCCTGAGTGGATCGGCCCAAAAGTGGATCGGCCCAAAAAAGTAATCACTTTTGATGGTTTACCACAAAAATGGTCTTCCCAAAAAGCTTAAAGTCCAGGAACTTAGGGAGTGAGGGTAGAAATGCTAGAGCCTGTTGTCTAAAAATGCCTTGTTGAAGAGACGCCGATTGACCTGTTCATATCTTGCTAGAAGATTTGGCAAGTCCGTCAGCAGGTGCAGTGTGACACACTTCTAGGGCAGTCAGATTTCGTCCAAAAGCGTGACCTTCTTCGCAAATCGATAAACAACAACAGTCAAACACCGTTTACGACATCTATTCAACATCTATGCCCTGGAGCTTCCTCATTGAACATTGTGCACTGATCAAAATGTAGAAGGCGGACGGCCTTACACGAAAAATATATCGAAACATTGAATCGATTACATTCCGAATTACCCGACCCCAGCCCTTTTCAATGGAAGTGCCGGCCGATATCGGACAGAGTTCGCAGCCTTTGTTTCTGAAGAATGGAATAGTGAGGAAGCGAGTGTTGGAGCACCCGTGACTCAAACACAAACATGGAAGCGCGCAGACCGCTTGGTCTTGCAGCCTTTCAACTGGAAACCACAACGTGGGAGCTTCCACCTGGAAGACGTTGGTGTTACCTGAGGGGCAAGCTTTCTGGAGAGGACCCGCTTCCTTGTGGTTTGATAGGAAAACAACAAGAACAGCCGCAAAACCATTCTAAGGCTCCCCGAACAAGACGCATCCAAAAAGCGGACCTCAAAAGATGGTCTTAAAATAGATGCCCCAAAAAGGACCGGCTCCTTGATTTTCTTGGAAAAGACAAACAAAGAGCAACGAGCCTCATAAAAATTATACGGCACGCCCTCAAAAGGGCGCTGGTTGTACCCATCTCACCTTTACAGGAAAACGGCGAGGGGCCACTGAGGCCTCGGGCAGAAGCAGCGCGCTTGTGCGGCGGTCCAAATAACTGAGGCCCGAGGTTGCTTCGAAAAGAGCAAGGCGAAGCGCGCAAAAGACTCGAAACTAGAGCAAAATAATCGTGTATGATGTCATGGTGGTTGGCAACGCATATGTTTTTTCATGGTGGTTGGCAACGTCTATGACCCGTAATAATTGTTAGATCAAACAGGCAGGCAGGTAGAAAAACAAGCAGACAGAATGACAGGCAGACATGGAGGCAGACAGACTGACACACAAGTAACAGAGGGAGGCAGACAGACACATATATAGACAGACAGACAGCCGGACAGACGGACAGACGGATGGACGGACGGACGGACGGACCGACAGACAGACAGGCAGACGGACGGAAGGCATACTGACACACACGGAAACAGACAGCCAGGCAGACCGACTGACACACATGTAACAAACAGACAGGCAGACAGACAAAGACAGACAAACAGGCAGGCAGGCAAGCAGGCAGGCAGGCAGGCAGGCAGGCAGGCAGGCAGGCAGGCAGGCAGGCAGGCAGGCAGGCAGGCAGGCAGGGCCTGCAGACTGGTAGACAGGCAGAGCAGACAGATAGACGAAGGTAAACAAGCAAACAAACAAATAATCACAAAGAATCGCAAACAAAACAAGCAAAAGAAACAAGACAATGCAACCCGGAACAAAGACACAACGAAACACGGAAGGAAAGAAAGAAATAAACAAATAAGACAAGGAAGCAAAGCGGCAATGACGCAAGGAAGCCAGGAAGCAAGCAAGCAAGAAAGCAAGAAAGCCAGGAAGCCAGGAAGCAAGCAAGCAAGAAAGCAAGAAAGCTAGGAAGCAACGAAGCAAGCATGCAAGGAAGCAAGCAAGCAAGCGAGCGAGCAAGCAATCATGCATGCATGCATGCAAGCAAGCCAGCAAACAACCTACCAATACACAAATGTAAAGTTAAGCTCAATAGCCCGGCAATGTGCCCAACCATCTGATGCCTCACAAAGGGGCCAGGGGAGTCCTAAGCCAATCCTAAACACACGATTCTAGGCGTCATATCAACTTTCGCGCATTTGACATGAAGAAAGGCCCTGTTGCATGTGGGGGGCTCGTCGTTTGAGGTTACTCTGATTTGGGAGTTCGGTTTTCCAGGCCAAGCCGACGGGAAAAACCAACGCATCTTCGTTTGGGCCCTCGTCGCGACGACGGCCAGGCTCGCTGGAGCGAGAAGGCCAAGGCTTTGGCTCCCACATGGGGCGAAGCTCCTGGCAAGTTTTGGTTTCGGGTGGCCCGGAGGCTGGACTGGGTGCGTTACATCCGTCTCCCCTGCAATTGCCCGGAGTTGGAATTGGCTCATGCTTCCAGGCCCTGTCAGTTGCGGGTATTTGCACCGCTATCTTCACGGCTTCCCCTCCGCTATGTTGGTGACTGGAACTATCATGAAGCAGTGGGTGTGGTTGCTATTAACTGGAAGCGCTGTGCTTGCGACAGTGGTAACTAAGTGGAAGCACGCCAGCGGTGGGAGGTTTGGGCGCTCTGAAACTTTTCTGGGCGACGCGGCCCGGTTCGGAGGTTTGGGCGGGCTGTGGACCTGCTTGTCGGGGGCTATCCGGTTTCGAAGCCAATTTAATGTTGACCCCGAATTAACAACGGTTCTGTGAGTTAGGGGTGGGGGAAAAATAGTAAAAGGAGAATTCAAAGAATTATTTTTCTACTATTTTTTCCAACAGCAACACAACAAACAGAAAACAAAATCCAGAACAAGAAGCAAACAAAATAAATAATCACAACCAGCAACAAAAATATTTAATCACAGCATACAACATTAAATAATTCAAACAAGCATACCAACAAAACAGCAACACTCTAAACCATCAAAGACACTCAACTCAAAAACACACATCAACAAAAAACAAAGCAACATACCAACAAAAAATATCACAAAAGTATCAAACAAAACAAAAACAAACAGCCAAAGCACGAAAAAATTGAAGAAGCATACCAAGTCTAAACAACGCACTTTGAAAGAGATAAGCAAATTAGGAAAATATAATAATTCAATCTTTACAAACGATAAGTATATTACAATTATAACATATAATATTTTACATGTTATTATTATAGTATGAGTTCAACTTTATTCTAATTAACTTTAAAATTCTCTTTCAATTCGTTTCACTATTTTATCAACTGTTTTTTCATTATACATATTATTTCCTATTTCTTTTATAAACACCTTCATTACACTAATTGCATGTCTTGCTGTGTATCTAAGTTCGTGAGCTTCATACTTACAATTTAAAAACTCATTTACAAAATCAAAGTCATTATCATTCAATGCTTCGTACTTTAAACGTTTAATGCTAAAAGACATATTGTATAATCTTTTTACCAGGCTATAATACTTATAAATAAAACCATTCACATATCCATTATCTAATAAATTATCAAATTCTATTTCAGTAAAGAACTTATTCATTTCAATAAACACAAATATTTCTAAATCATCATCAAGAGTTTCAGCATTTCTAGTATCAAAATCTCTGTTATTCATATAATCAATTTTGTTTATAATTCTATTACAATTAGTGCATATCATATATTGACAAATATTATTACTAACACCATCTATAAAACCCTGTTGAATTGTTAACTTTAGCATCTCACAGTCTTTACATTTGTAATTCATAAACTTTTGTTTCAATATATTTTTAACATCAATATCTTCATGGACAGTATCACTAAATTCACTATACACACTTTCTACATCACTATATTCACCATATTCACTTTCTGTATCACTCATTTCTATCTTAATATATTAAGTCAATATTTCTTTAAGTCGTTTTCAAAGAATGTATTTTATAATGGTCGTAAGCAAGTGAGTTTATACCATCTATCCAATATTTTCTGTTTTCATAACTACTAAGAGCATTTTTTTTAGTTGGTATACTAAAAATTCTGTGGTTTTTACTTCTAATACTATTAAATGACTTATGTATAACCTCATTAGTTTTTAAAACCGTCTCAAACTCTTCATATTTCATTTGACGTCTTACTGTGCCTTTTGCTATGCCCTTACATTTCTTATATTCTTTTTCATCACCAAAAACTGAGTAAGCGTAGCATTTAGGACGAAGGGCTATAAACCCTGTTATTATTTTACTTTTTAATTCATCCTTAAATTTCCCTAATACTTTTTTGTTATTCTCATCATAACATTTATGTTCCTTAGGATAATCTGAAAAATCTACTTCTTTTTTAATTGTATTCAGGTCTTCATAAATGTCAACGGTTTTAGTATGAAATACAAAACTGTCAGTATCAGTATATACCATTTTAATATTATCTCCATATTTAGGCTTCATAACGTCATAATAAAATTTATACATGTGTTGCTTACTCAAATCTAAAATACTCATCCCAATAAATATAGGTTTGTCTAGTTTCAACTTTGTTTTTGCTTTTCAACTCCAACCAAATTTTCATTAATGATATGACTATGATTGAAGTTAGGATTACTTACACACTTCATATATCTAGTTTCATCACTAACAACCTCAAAATCTAAATGTTTCCTTTTATCCTCCATTGTTTTTCCAAATATGGCATTGTTCATCAATTTATAAACATCTTTCTCAAAATCATTTCTAGCATTCTTCCTCTTCTCAGCGTCAAACTCAATGTAAGGTTTTAAAACTTCTTTTTGTTCAAATTTAACTGCTCTATGAATGTTCTTAAGTTTTAACCCTTGCTTCAAATAAAATTGTAAGGTTCTTATATGGATTACATATTTTTCTTTATCATTTAAATTCAAGACTAATTTATTTGTTTTCTCATCCGTAGGCTTTTTATGATTTAAAAATTCATAAATTTCAATTTGTTTATCTGACAGCATGTTGGCTTTAACATTCATAACCTCAGGTGCCATTGGATAGTCATTGTGTAAATCGTGTAATTCTTGAGGATATTCTAAATCCACTTCTAGAATATATCCAATATTATTATTTTTGTAATTAATAATGTCTTCTTCTTTTAATGTATCATCCCATTTTAGATTTTTATATGGCAGTTTTTGTATCATGCTTAACCCATACAAATTATTAGCGTCAAAATAGTTAATATAACTACTTTCTTTCTTTTTATTATAATCTTCTCCCATGTATTTATTATTTGCTTCAACCTTTTTAGTAGAAACCATACACATCCCTCCTCTAAGTCCTGCTTCTATCATTTCATACATTTCTTGGTCATATATTAAATCAATCTCTACACCAGTCATTTTAAGCGTAGCATCAAAAGCAAAGTTAGGCAATGTATAATAATAAGCAGGGTCCAATCCATAATATTTCATACACACATCTCTAAAATTTTCGACAATGTCAGTCAATAATAATACATCAGTTTTCAAATATAAATCATGGTATTCACCCATATTCTTAATGTCGAAATGCTTCCATATAATTTTTGCCCTTTCATAGTCGTTAACACTTATACCTTCTTCACTCAACTGACTATAAAAATCATCCTTACTCGGTAATTGCTCATCATCAAATTTATCAAATGAATTCATGTAGTCATAAGGATAAACACCTTTATCAGTTAACAAATCTAGACATGTCTCACTCTTAATCAAATCATTTTTACTACTAAACCTAAAATTATCTTTCCAGTTTTCACGCAATAACCATTTACTTTTATCTTCTTCATCTGTATTATCATACTTACTCATTGAAACTAACTTATCTAATGAAGCAGTTAAAAACCCAAAAGTGTCTTTAACACTCAAACTTTCAAAACTGATATTAATAATTTTTTCACTGTTCTGAGCGATGACACCTATTTTATTGTTGTTACTAAATTTATCAGCATTTTGAATAATTAAATGACCGTCATAATTTTTCATGTTATGAAAGAATACAGGAATTTTAAAATATCTACTACAAAAATTAAGATTGCAAACATTATGAGCACAACCTCTATACTTACCTGTAAAATGACAATGGTCGCGGATCTTCTGGTATTTATCAGAAGAGTAGCTTGGAGGGCTTCGCCCTCCATCTCTAACTTTTCTACATTTCTCTGCTTCCTTGGCCTTCTTCTAGTTCATTCTAAACTTGTCTCCACAAATACAGCAGTTTTTAGCATTTTTAAAATCTTCTTTGTCTTCATCACTCATATCTATTTTTTGTTTTCTCCCATTTTATTTTTTACTTCTGTCCTAATCTCATTAAGTTTTTGACAAAACACATCAACAGCATCTTTACCACGATACATAAATTCATAATTTGTATTATCAACAGCATTAACCATATTAAGCATAAAACCACATGGTTTATGCTCTTGATAAGAAAAAGTGTTTTTATCTTCATCTTCATCAGGTTTTTTCAGTTCCTCTGTCAAACATTCAAAATCAGCATATACAACAAAAGGACATCTTAACTTTTTGAAGTGATGCTTAAAACTAACTTTCTCATAAGGCTTAGGCATTACTATCTGTTGTCCTTCAACTTCCATGCATCCACTATCATAATGTTTATTTAATAATTCTTCATTTCTAAATCCATGCTTACAGTATTTACAAAAATAGGACTTACCATTATGATTACTTGTTTGATTATTAATAAGTCTGCTCAAACTTTTTATATACACATAATGACTGCAATCCTCATCATCAACTCTTAACAAATCAAAATGAAAAGACGCATCAGTATTTTCAATTTTCTACTAATAACAATTTGTTCATTATCATCAATTTCATAAACATTAATGGATATTGATTTATTATTTTCTTCAAATATATCTATATCATTATTATTAGCAGGAAAACTCACACCATCAAAAATCAAATCACTTTCTATCTTCTTGTAATGAAACATCTTTTCAAGGTGTGCTGTATCACAAATTTTACAATATCCACACTCAATAGAATATTTAAAACACGTGTCATCTTGATTTTTAATATTGATACATGCCTTTTTCTTTTTAATCCATTCTGGAAGTTCAATATATTTGCCAGCTCTAGTCGGATTATATTTATTATACATGATATGCAGATTATTAATATTGCTAATTATTAATCCTGACTGATACAAAGCCATATCTAAAATTATTGTTTCAACATCAGGTCTCATTCTTTTCAAAGCATTCCTTAAATCCTCTTCATTTACAATAGTGTACGACCTTGTCCTAACTGTTACGTTTCTCTCCTCATCAAATAAGTTCATAACTTTCATATGTATTGTAGCATTCAGTTTCATTCCTC